ACTTTTATAAAATTCAACTTCTTGACTTACTGGGTCCCGGAGTTGAAACATCTGGATCGACATTCGTTCGCACGCAAACGAACAAAAGCACACTTTTTTATATACTTTGACGTCACTGATGCAGAACATGAGCTTCTAGATCTCAACCTCAGTTTTTTTCCTATCTGCATGCCTTTCTATCTTATAGCGTATTTTAACTCCAGAACTGTGAAAACTGGGAATTGGCTTTTTGCAGTCAAAGTTACCGACCCATCTGCGAGGCATTGCAGCCTCATTAAATGTCCTTCGGCACATGACACTTAAAACCAATCCTTGCAATCTACTGTTTCAGTAGACAACTTAACAACATCAATAAACCGATGAAGAATTTACAATATATTACTTTCAACAAGCGAATTCAGAAGCTTTTCCTTACTGCTGCGTAATCAGTCCAGGTAATTAGGCATCAGATCAGCCGATGCGGTCATGTATTTTTGCGCTAAACTTGATGTAGTCATGTTGTTAATTATAAGAATGGTTGTTGGACTATAGCTTAACATTTAGAACCATACTGGCAGTGTTGGTTGTTTCTTTGATGTAGGGAAAAAAGCACTGGCTGGGATGGCAATGCTGTATTATCGAGTCGCGTAAAATTTTAATCTCCTGCTTGTATGATTGGGGCTGTATGAAAAGGTTGTTCGCTAAAAATGCGAATTGGTCAATAGGGGGCTGTGAAGTGAGAAAGATGACGAAATAGTAGAAAACTTTTGCGTTCCCACTTGCGAAAACCAAGCATACTTAGTAGCCGAACTCGAACTCTTTAGACTGCACGTGGACAAGAGGGATCCGCCAAAAATTTCAGCCTTTCTGATTCATGAGTAAGCTGTTTTCCCGCCAAAGCTTTTACACAACCCTTCGTCAGACTCGAACATGAGTGAAAATTTATGTTGTGTTATTGGGACAGCATTTCGCTAGGGTACCCAATAGCAAAATTTTAGCATCAAAGCTTACTTGGTTACCGAGTTAAAATACCCGTAACAGACATGCACACAGGCATGCACACGCATACGCACAGACACACCGTGGTACATGTATTATG